CAATTTTGTCCCTGTAAAAAAAAATGATTGAAAATATAAAAATGTTATTTTGGTAATATAATATAAAATAATTTCTTTTCTTTTCTCTTATGAAATTTAACCAAACAAGAATGAGAAAAATCACAATCATTTTTTTTTTAATTTCTTCCTTATCCAAATAAAAAAAAATACAATCATTTTATTTCATTTATTTTCTCTTATAACTTAAGTAATACTTTCGTTTCTTTTCTTTTCTTCTCTCTCCTAGGTTCCAAACATAGTAAATGGGCCGGCTGCTGACTCACTCTTCTACACCCTCTTTAAACCCTAATCTCTCACTCACTCAACCCTCTCCTGATCTGGACGGCTCGCTCTCTCTCTCTCAAGTACTTCCAATAGCAGTGATTCATCTCAGAATATCGATCGATCAATATCTCAACGAATCGCTCTCTCTCAACAGATCGATCAATCGAATCTCGGTGATTCATCTCAAAATGACATCTCGGCGATTTTGATTTTGATTTCAAAGCTCTCTCTCAATTTCGAAGGTCTCTCTCTCGATTGAGATGGTCTATTTGTTGATTTTCGTATGTGCAGATCAAGGCATTGCATATGCGGAGATCAAGGCATTGAGAGAAGGCAGAAAGGTTCGGATCTACCCCTTCTCTCTATATATATATGACAATCGTAAATTTGATTCAGTGATTCTGTTTTGCTTGTGTTGGTTTGATTCTGTTTTGTTTGTGTTGGTTCAGTGATTCTATATATATATATACTATAACCCTCTTCTGTTTTGTTCATTTGGTTGTTGCCAAGTTTTGATTCTGCAATGCGATAGTATTGCTCTGTTTCAATGATTGATGTTTTGTTTGTGTGAAATGTTTTGTTTGGTTATGAATTGATGTTTTAAATTGCTGTAATGTTACGAATCTATCTCATGTTGTAGCCATGCTTTCGATGGACAATGACTTCTTGGTCCTCACTTAGAAGTGAGGTTTTGAAAATTTGACATCTCACATCACTAAAATCAGTTTGTAGATGCATAGTGAATTTGAGGTAGTTTGCTATTTGAATAGCAAAATAACGAGTTATTTTACGGTAAACAGTTAATATTTTCATGTTCTTGATGCTGCTAGTTGACTTGGTTTATCATGAATTTGCCAATGTTCAATGATCCACATCTAGTTATAGTTGGTAGTCAATAGTGTTGAATCAGTTTTGTAATTTGAGTTATTCACCTAAAAATATATATAAAAGAAGCTAGATTATTATTGTCTTACTACTTTGAACTATCATTTAATATCATTTTATTTCCTCTGACTAAAATATATTACATTTTGTCACATTGCACTGCCAATTTGTATAAATTTAAAAATTACATTAATAATCCGTTACATAACTGGATCAAACATTGACAAGTAACTTACACGCGATATCTAAAATAATCATACATTTGTTTTAATTAAGGTTTTGTGTTGGTTTGATTAAGGTTTTTGGGGAAAACATATTTCGTCTTTTTTACCCAACCACATGTGAACGGATTTTTTGCATTGCAAGTGTTCGATAAAATGCTTCAATGAATTTTTTTTTTTTTTATAAACTAATTAGATACATGTGAAGTTAGGAGTATGTTGTGATGAATGCTAAATAGCTATTGTGATGGTGTATCTTATAAACTGTAGTGACTATTTTCACCCCTAGAATAGTATTACTTAGGAAATAGATGCGTTTGGTTAATATATTTTAAATTCTGATTACATTTATGCAAATGGAACCACAAATCTCCTTGGATTTCAGTCCATGCATGACAAAACACTTGAGGCTTTCCTTTGGATTCTTATTTCTCTTCTTTTTTCTTTTTTTCCTTTGATCTAACTGGGGGGTGGGTTGTTTTGGTTCACTTTCTTCTTATCTTTTGGCTTTGTATACAAAGTAATTTTTTTGTTGAGAATTATGAATTCAATTTTTGGATTTGTTATTTTGTAGGTAATGCTAAAACATCATTTGTGGATATGTTATTTTGTGGGTAATGGTGATTGGATATTAAATTGAATGGGAAAGGGAATTAATGCTGCATTTACTATTTGAATGGGAGTTATTATTTCATATTTGTGCTATTCAATTTTATTAGAGGTATTTTTTCAGTTCAATCACATAAAATCAACACAATTTTTATAAATACAAAAAATAAAAATAAATAAAAAGAAGAAGAAGAAGAAAGAGAGAGAGGATATCACAGCGTTTTGACAAACGCCACCTAAACTCTAAAGCTAACGATCAATTTTTTAAAAAAAGATATGACGGCGTTTTGAAAACGTTGCTAAAATCATAATGATGTCATAGTACCTTAGGGTGGGACATTTGGCGACGTTTTTAAAAACGCCGCCTATACTAAATATAGTGACGCTTTTAAAGCGTCATAAAGCTATAGCGACGGCCGCATTTTCGACGTTTGGTACTAAACGTCACAAAAACAATTAGCGGCATTTTTGATAGCTATAGTGGCATTTTTTAAACGCCACTAAAAACCTAATTTTCAACAGTGATGGCATTCACAACTTAACTGGCAGGTAACTGAAGATATTTGTTTTATACATGTGGCTTGTTCTACCAAGCGAATTGAACGCCAGCATAGATTCTATTTGATTAATCTAAATTTTAATCTAGTTAGTTTTGTGTATAAATTATCAATGAATTTTTTTTGAATTAATTTAATAATCATAAATTCTATCATTGTAAAAATTAAATAAAAATATGCACATAAGAGTCCATATGATAAACAATTTAGGCCCCATTTGGGAAGAGGGTTAAAAACTAAAAGCCAAGTTTTAACTCATTTTTTGTCACATCACTTTTCACATTTTTTTACATATGATTTTCAAAAAAGTCAAAAAAACTAGTTTTTAACTATCTTCCCAAAACACCAGTTAATAAATCATTACAATTGAACCCCTAGTCAACCTCAGGAACTCAACTGCACTCAACTTTACTCAACTATAGTGGACTGCAACAATCCATGTGTTCTTATTTTGTACAGGGTGTTTGGGAGGAGGGTTACGTAAAAATAGCTTATTAAAAGATAAAATAGGTTAAAATAATTAATATGACAAAATGTCACATCCAACCCATAATTATTTCACTTTTTTTTTCACAACCATCAAATCAATTGCAAAAAAAAGTCAACCAACTTTCCAAAAATAACTATTTTAGCCACGCTAAAATAGCTAAAAAGTCAAATAGCCAACTAAAATAGTCAACTTCCCAAACAAGGCCACAGTAATATCATAAACACCAAACACAGATACTCTATTTAGTGCTTGTTTGGCAAGCTATTTTAGCACATTATCCTATTTGGGTCACAATCATCTTATTTGGGTCACATCACCTCTTTACCACATCACTTCAAACCCAACCCATATTTCACGTTTTTTCATAAAAAGTCAAAAAGTATACTAATCTAACACTTTCCAAACAAGTTTATTGAAATGAGCGAGAATGAAATGGAATAGTGATTCCTTTAGACTTTCCTATAAAATGATCATTCCTTTAAAATTGTAAAAGATGATTTCATTTATAATGTATTTGCCATTATTTTTTTAGTCTAATCAAACATAGGAATGAATATTTTCATGGAATAATCATTCTAGTGAACTTTGCACACCAAAATGAAATACATGTCTCACAAATATAAAAATGTTAGATTTGTGGACCTGATAAATATTATTCACTAGGCCCTAAATCCCATAGGGGCCCCAAGGGAAGCAGATCCAGGGGTTATCCAACCGAATTACCCAATAGTGGGTCTCAAATTGATACAATTAAAATTATAAAATAATAGATAAATTATAAGAATTACAGGTATAATTTCCAAAAGAAATATAATATATGCGACGTAAGTACCTAGGGGGGTGGGAGTTGCTATATTGACAATTTTCAGAAGAAATTTGGATTTGCATGGGTGTTTTCTTCTCTAACTAATCTAATGTTTGTATTGTATTCTAAATTACTAGAGATCACATAGAATATTCTGTACATAGCTAGGAAAGACTATTCCCTTTTGGGTGTTAATTTTAGATGGATTATTGAAAATTGTTAAAGATTTATGTTAATGATTGATCCACTGAATTTGGGCTTGCCTGAATTATTCGAATTACATAAGTCAGACGACCGCTCGAATGACTGATGTCACTTTTGTCAACCGGCGTGTCAACATGCATCCACCCGGATGATCGGTATCCTCCTGGATGACTGTGTGTCAACTGGCATACACAAATTCAGACAATTCAAACGAGCCCAAATTCGGTGAATGTAACATTACTGTAAATATTTATGTTAATGATTCATCAATTTCCTGTTGTCAATGTCTAATGGCATTTACAAAGTGTAATGTATAAAAAAGTAAACACGATAAATTATACTGACCATTTCTTAGGTTTGAAAAAAAATACAATATGTTTAATAAATTTTTCATAATTACTCTAATTTTCTTTTTTGTTAGGCTAAAATACACAAATTTAATACATATGGCATGTAAACATAGAAATAATAAATATATTTTAATGTGAAAGATATGATAATATGTATTAAAAGATATGCTAATATGTTTTTTCCCCTATCTATATGACTAACAAATTATAGGTGAAAATGAGCCTAATTTTACATAAATTAAAATATAAGAGATTAGATCACAAGCAAGTAAAATACAAGGGATTATTAGGCACAAGCAAGGCCATTCATTATTGTCTATGATCGGACAATCAAGGGGTTCTGTGACTGAGTTTAAGGTTTTCATTAGACCCATAAACTAAAACACTGCAAAATGTTTAAGAAAAATTAGGCATTACAAATTGTTATGGTTGCCAATTGTCTGGATACATTTGTTGGCACAACCAAAGTAGACCATAGGTATGTCGGTGTTCTTAATTTCGCTAAATCACACCCTGTTTAAGTATTAATCATCTCATCAAGAAAAAACTGTGTTCTGGAGAAAGAAATGTGGATCCCTGTCCCATACTAATCTCCTTTCTACATATGATCAAGTTAGAGAGATCCATTATATGACAGAGATGTAATATGGAGTGACAGGGTAGGCGAGAGAACCTATTGTGCATAAATGCATCTGTGTCTCCAAACATAGAGACAAGGAAGGAGAGAGAGAATCCATAGCAGAGAATTTATTTTTATTTTTTTTTTACGCCATAGTAGAGAAATGGATACTCAATTCTTAGCCTCCAAATCCTTTTACCTATTTGTCTTACATACTCATCATTGTTGGATCGTGTCTCGAGATTTTTCGTACATCAAAATTTTCACATAAATTAATGACTGAATATTTCGCCCAAAAAAAACAGAAAAAAAAAAAACCTTTGCATATATGAAAGACTGATTGTTTACCATAAAAAAAGTACACCCATGACATATATAGGACTATGAACTAACCTTTCATAAATGCTCTATCAATCATCCCACAAGCAAACTTGTATACTTGTCTTACACGAGGCTTTTAATTGCACTTCTTGAATATTTTGATGTCTTTCCACCTTGACTCATATAGTAGCTTACATTAGTTGGTGCAGCATAAACTCCACACTTAAAGAACGAATCACCGGGGCCTCTATCCTTCACCAAACTGTTTTTGAGCCCTCGATGAAGACTTTCACACTCCCTTTATCCACATTATGGATTATGTTTAGTCTGCACCATTTATCATACAGATCAGTGGTCACTAAGTCGTGGCTATAGCACCTCATGTCCCCATTAAAGATCCTTCATAGTATTGTTGTGCCTTTGGGATCATTGGCTGCACCATGGATATTTTGCCACTATGGCTCAGCCCTCTTTGAGGGAGCACTTGTAGATCCCTCGCAAACCCCCAATGTCTGCAAACCCCTCTAGACTCCTCTTGTTCGGCTTTCTAATGGGTAAGGGCTCCTATGGTCACACATAGGGTGACTACTATGCCCTCAATAAGATTGGGATCAAGACTCAACCCATATTGAGAAACATAAATTCATGCATGCAATATTAGTAAGGAAAGATAAATGAAAGGAAAAATTATGTCAGTAGCGTCTATACTTCGCTTCTTGTATCGATTTAGACCCTATAGTTTCAATTAGTTTGATTTTTCCTAAATTTTTAATGTGTCAATTTAAGGATAATAGGCATTACGGCTCACGTGATATATTTGTATGAGCAAAATGGTGAATTAATCACTGCCATCCATCGTCATAATCCTAAAGCCACGCAGGCAGAGGAATTTGGGTTTCTCCTAGATTTGAATTCCATTTCAATCTTTTGGTTTTCACTTCTTAGGAGGAAATATAAATTAAGAGGGAGGATTGGGGGTGATCTAATGATGGGAGGGAAGGACCGAGAGTGGCTAGCCGTGGGAAGAAGAGAGGAGTTGGGTTTTAGTTGAGTGAACTAACACGCTGAGCTGGGCACTGAATTTACCATTTTATTCTTGAAAATAGGCCATGTGTGATTTTAGTATGGTTCCTAAAGTATGAGTTGTGTCATTTTAGTCTCTAATTTTAAGTTGTATCAATTTGGTTCCCAATACATAAAAGTGTTTCAATTTTGTCCCCAATGTTTAAATTGTGTCAATCTAGTTCCTATTATATAACACCAAATTGACCCAATTTAAATATTGAGGACCAAAATGGCATGAGATTTATATTTTGAACACTAAAAATGTGATTAATCCAACAAAAAAACAAAACCTTTTGCTATCAATTGAATCATATTAACACAAAATAAATATTAATGAACAAAATCGAATTGATTGAAATTATATAGGCCATTATTCATGTAATTTACGCATAATGAAATATAGAAAATAAGTACACAATTAAATATACCATAGAATTTTCCATATATATATATATAAACAAAATTTAAGTGGAGAGAGAGTACTAGTATGCGAATCTCGGTGCGGGGCTGGCTAGGACTACTGGGGTCATATGGCTTGTCATCGGCATAGACCCACAAGCAGTGAACTCCATTTTGGAAACTGTAGTGCTGCTCAAGTGGTATGTCATATGGTTTCTGCAGTTTGAAGTTCGATTCTGTTAATGGAATATTTGTGAATCCATCAGTTGGATCTGCATCACATAGCAACGGATAGAAATTAGTCAGCAAGCCCACTAGAACCACAATCACTACAACATGGGAGATGTATAAGAAATCATATATCTCTCTCTCTCTCTCTAATGGTGAGATGAGAACTCAATGTAGATGTGAATGCAAGTTTTTGTAGTGAAAAGTTGGTTTAAAACATTGCTATGGAAAGTACTATGAAAATGTTAGGTCTTGGACTTGAGTTGTTTTTTAACAAAATAAAACTAAAAGGCAAAATGGTTGACACTATCTATAGGTAGGCATTTTGAATGATAAGGTGACAAATGAAAAAGAACAGAAAAACCTTAAATATTGTAAACTCAGGTTTATATAAGTATCACTGATACTGATACTGATACTGATACGTATAATGGTTATTTAGAACCATGTGTACAAATTGGATTGAAACAATTCTTCTTTTTCTATCTTCATTGGGATGTTTGTTTTTAAGAAATAGATTCTGAAAATTCAATCAAACGACATTTGAGAAAAAGTTTTAATATACTATTTAATGTAGTGTGAGTTGCACTCACAATAAATTTGATCCATATATTTTAAATTATGAATATCTTTTAAATACATATCATTTGTTATTTAATTTAAAAATAAATAAATAACTTAAAAATAGAATTTAGGGGATTAAAAACTGAAGTTTCCTTAACTAGCCACCAACCTGTAGTTATCTTTAAAGTTCCATGCTTGGTGGAGAACAAGCAATCAAAGGTGCTCGGGCTTGCTATCTTGTTCTCTGTCACCAACTGGGATTGCTAGCCAGCTAAGTCAAATTGGACGAACATTGTATGAGAATTTTTTTACATATATATATTATATATATAACTCAACAAGAATATCTAGTGGAATTTCTTGAAATCACAAGCTAAAATGGTAAATGATTTAATTTGAAATGAAAAGATCACAAACTATCATATCATTCTGCATATAAATTTGTACGATCGAGTAGAGAGAGAAAGGGAAGAAGGGAAAGAAACAGAGTTAGGATGAGGTAAGTTTGTTTCTCTATTTTTTAACACCAGGTGAGGATGGACTCATTTTGAGCCTTTGGATGACATTCTGGATGTGGCCAACAAGGAGTTATCTATCCTCCCCTTACAAGGTGCACAGCATATCTATATATTTAATAATTTGACTGTTTACAAAATCATAGAGTACCACTCGTATCAAGTCTCTCTATAAGGTAGGTTAGTTTATGAGAATCAATGGTAGTTTCATGAGTTCAAATCTCGCTAGTCCATCAGGACTGTCGAGAACAGATCAGAGGAGTTGGAATATGTATCAGAAGGGAACCTAGCTATATAATGCACGAGGGCTTCTCACATGCATTTAGTCTATAATGGACCATTACATTCTCTATATCCCCAAAAGGCCATAAACTTAAATGTGGTAATTATGTTTCCAAAAAATGAAAAAAATATAAAAAAATGACCCTATTGCATGGTGTATTTAATGATTGAAACTATTTATGATGGTATTTAACCCCAAAAACATAAAAATTCAGACATAGCTCATTTGACAGGGAGTATATAAACCCATCCAAAATATTCTTCTCGTTCGTCGCATTATCCATTCCGATAAAAATAGTGTCAAAGTTATACAATTACCAACAAACCAATCCCAAAACTAAATAAAATAGTCTACGCAACCTGGCTAGGTTTTCATCTAAACCTAAGGGGAATGCCTAGCCACTCATCGAGCCGTTTTCTTCAATAAGTGGAACCCTCTCTAAGTCTTTAAAAGAGACTTATATAGTCCTCCCCTAATTAGGTCTTAAAGGGAAAATAAATGCCAAATTAACTAAAAGTAGTGAGTAGATTGTTGCCAGACTCACTCGGGCAGAAAAATGCTGAGAGCTAATTCTGTTTCTGCTCCCCTCGCCCAGGCAGAAAAGTGCTGAAACTTAATTTTCCTTCTTGTTCTTGTAACCCAATTGCCACTCTATCATCAAGGCTCCGCAAACTTCTGAAAAACGCCATTAAAGAACTATCCCACCATAAGAGTTCAACTACAAAAAAACACATATAAGTGGAATAATTAAGCCAAGTAACAATGACTTGAGACTTAGCAAATGCAAGTCCTTGAGCAAAGTAAAAAGAAAAAAAAAAAAAAAAACTAAAATAAACTATCATAGGCCACTTCGTCGGACTCACAACTACTTTACCATGTGTAACAAGTCTTTAAACTACAAGGTTATTCCTAGTAACCAAGTTATAATCTCGTGAGGATTTGCAATGAATTTACACACAAAATTCATCCATGTTAGTCTCTCACCACAAAATACATATTCAATGAAGACTCTAAATTCAAGCAACGCCTCAACTCCCACACAACCATTGCACACATCAATTGAGTTCAAACACAATTCTCATTCATGAACACAGTTAAGCAATTGAACAATTCACTATCTCCAACAATGCAAGTCAAGTTCTCTACTGTGTATAATCAGATAGTAAGATATCATAAGTGCCTTTGGTGTAAAGTGAATGTTAACATAAAGATGTGGCCCCAACTTAATCCTTGAACACATATCACCAAATCCCATAACCCCATCAAATTTCCCATGTTCATCAGTGAATCAAGCTTTTTGTTGCACTTATGATCCTTTGTCACGTTAATTGCATCACTATGCTTGAATGTGGGTAGTGCAATGCTTGGGTCCCTTATGCTTTCTAAATAACCCATGTATCAAGGTTTGGACCAGTGACTCCCAAACCAGTTAAACAACCCTACGGCTCACTAACTAGAATTAAATAGGCTACAAACTCAAGTTAACCTCGCATTACATTCTTTCCAAGACTCTCACGGTTTGACACGAACACTCATTGCTTATTGAGGCAAGATACCTGGTTACTAAGTAAAGAGATCAGTAAGACAAGTAAGCATATGCACAAGTTTAATTCCTTGATTTGTTTTCATTGATTCCACATCAATGCAATTCACATTATAATTAACTTGATCACAATGTCCACAAGGCATCCAATTCACTACATCAATGACATATCAAAGAGACAACACAAATAACCCAAAGAAGAGAATAAGAGATATCACCTCGAGCATGGCCAACACAAATATGCAAGAAAAAGGAAGAGGGATATCCCCCCCAACTAAACTTTGTGTGAACCTGCAACTAGATAAGCAGCTGATATGCACCAAAAAGAGATGGATCACGATACAATATATACATATATATAAAACCAGAAAGTCATACTATCCATCCAAAAGTTAGCTGCAAGTCTTAAGAAGAACAACAGACTATGAGATTCAGACCATGCCACTCGCACACAACACTCACACCCTAGGAGGACGTTGCTGGGCATCAAGAATAGCCTGCAAAAGAGACCGGAGATCTAACATATCCTGCTGATACTGGGATCTGAACTCCAAAAAGTCTTGTTGAGACTTGAGTACGGTAAGCAATGATGTCCTGCCATAAACCACGAACTTCCTGACACAGTTGCTCATACTGCTCGGAGGTCATCTGAAAAGGTGCAGGAGCAGTTCCACTGGAATAGGCACAGGAGGAGGGGCAGGCTGTCGATTTGTCCGAGTTGGAAGCATAGACTGAACACTAGCAGTCCAATACAGTCCAATAAGACTTACCATACATGCCAACACGCTCGTTAACAACAATCTCATCCGTATCTATCGGGAAACCCTGATCTAGCAACAGTTTAGTAATCAAACTCGGAAAAGGAAGCACCCAACTCTCACTCTTCTGTGTCTGAGTAACCACAAGTCCCTTATGAAGCTTGTCCATCTCGGCCCAAATTAAGTCGCAAGTCTTAAGAACAACAACAGACTATGAGATTCAGACCATGCCACTCACACACAACACTCACACCCTAGGAGGACGTTGCTGGGCATCAAGAATAGCCTGCAAAAGAGACCGGAGATCTAACATATCCTGCTGATACTGGGATCTGAACTCCAAAAAGTCTTGTTGAGACTGAGTACGGTAAGCAATGACGTCCTGCCGTAGACCACGAACTTCCTGACACAGTTGCTCATACTGCTCGGAGGTCATCTGAAAAGGGGCAGGGGCAGTTCCAGTGGAATAGGCACAGGAGGAGGGGCAGGCTGTCGATTTGTCCGAGTTGGAAGCATAGACTGAACACTAGCAGTCCAATAAGACTTACCATACATGCCAACACGCTCGTTAACAACTATCTCATCCGTATCTATCGGGAAACCCTGATCTAGCAACAGTTTAGTAATCAAACTCGGAAAAGGAAGCGCCCAACTCTCACTCTTCTGTGTCTGAGTTACCACAAGTCCCTTATGAAGCTTGTCCATCTCGGCCCAAATTAAGTCGGGCACGGACACCCAATACCCTTTCTCGATCTTATAGAAGGCTTTCAAGTAATGCCCTTGACACTCATCCTTATGGCCACTCAAATGAAAAATTGAGTCAATCAACCACATCTGCGGAGGAAGGTGCACACGGCAGGTGGACTGGTGGTCAGAACCGAAGTGACCCTTGCACATATCATTGACTATTGCTTCAGGGGAGAGATCACCATGTAGATCCTGGTAGGGGCCTTCTTCCAATGGACACTAGTCTTCACAATCAAGGGCCTGTTGAATGTTGAAGCGGGTAACCTGAACACAGACCCCATCAAGAACAGTGTACAAAACATTGGGGAACCTATACTGCTTGTGCATATTTTGATAAAAAAGGCGAACCAAACATGGGTACACCTTCAAAAAAGGCCCAAACAACCCCACCAACTCACGCCTTTCTAGTTCCTTCACTGCCCATTTGGTGTCTTCATTATGGCGAAAGAATTCGTCAATTGCAAAAATAGTTGGAAGAGCTAAGCCCTTGGTTTTCCATGCATTCTTGGGTTGTTCTTTATACCCTGTCCGCATTTGATTAGGCTTCTTGGTTCAGGTAGAAGAGATAGCATCCGTAGCCCGTTTCTTGTTGGTCCCTCTGGTCATTATTGCAGCTGCTATAGCCACCTAACAAATTAGTGGTGTCAACATCAAGTGAGAAGGTAGATTAATGCCAAGAATAGAGAGTTAAGAGTGCACTGTCATAGGCAACCAATATCAAGTTCAAGCACACACCAACAAAAATGAGAATTGCTTAGAAGAGATCATGTGAAAATGAACACACAAAGCCAAGTGATATCAAGCACAGGGGCAATTCCCACAGATATTCAAAGCACAAAATAACAGTAGCTGGAAATAACCCCACCCCAAAACCATATCCACAGAGAACCAATCAAACACCACACACAAATTTCAACTCACTCAACTAGGCATCATATAGAGGGACAGAGAGTAAAACCCAACAAGAAGTGAACAACGAACCACCAATCCAATGCATAAAATTGGAGCATCAAAGAGAAAGGCAACCATCAACACTTACCAACGGAGAGTGACAGTGAAAAAGGGGGAGAGAGGGCCTGGAATCCGGTTGAGGGTTCACCAGCTAGATCCTTTATTTATTTATTTAATTGCTTGGCTCTACAACTGCCCAACAAGTATGCCTAAATAGTTGGGTTATATTATATTACTTGCGTAAGACTCTCATTTCATGCATAAAATGTTTATGTTAGTTTGTAATCACCATTTTACTCTTAACTGATAAACAAATTATTTAAGATATATGAAATTTCGCCATACACTGGTGTCTTTGGACAATTAGATGAATTCAATACAAAGACACATACCTACATCCAACACCTACTCAAATAAAAATACAGCTGGCATTTTTCTAAAAATTAGGAGGCAAACACATAATGGGACACGTTGAATAAATATATATATATATATACATGCATATATTATATTATACTGTATGTTAAAAAACAACATTATTTCAATTAAATTAGGTTTTTAAATAACAATGGTGGCCACCACAACGGTACCGATTGCGACAATGGGATGGCTGTAGTGCAATGGTGACAACCTGAGCTGTAAATTTTTTTTCTTTTTCACACAATTCCAAGAAAACTTACTAATCACATTTATAGGGTTTAAAAGGACAATCGAATCAAGCACAAACCCAATTCATAAAATTGAATTTGAAGCATGAAAGTGTAGGGCTTCTAGTAGCAACAATAACAAAGTTTCTATAAAATTTTGTAAAGTAACCTTTTTTTCTACTTCTTTTTTTGGATAAAGAACCAAACTTTATTAAAAAGGATAAAAACGATGCAAAGAATACATAAAAGGAAGCCATAGAGGCTCCACAAACTAACAACCTAGCAAATCAAATCCTCCACAAATTCTACAAAAACCAAAACATCCAGTTCAACCGATCTAGTCATCCAACCATACAATATCGTAAGAAGCCGTCGTTCTAACCAAGGGACTGAATGAGACAGCCTTTCAAAAATGCGCTTATTTTGCTCCAATCAAACCAACCATAGAATACAATGAGAAGCAAGCATCCACGCCTTCCGAATGAACATACCCAAATGAAGGCTGTAAAGTAACCTACCATAATCAATGCCAAATGAAGGAACATACCCAAGGAGAGTGAGAGGGCAACACGATGGCCGTGAAGTCGACAACAGGGATGAGAAGTGACGGCGCCGTGGCGATGAGACTGATGGTCGCCGGTGACGCGAAATCGACCGGAGATGGACTGAGACAGGTACGGTTTAGGGGGTAAAAAGAAAAGAAGAGAAAAGAAAAAAAAATAAAATACAAAAGAAAAGAAGTGGAAGTGAAATGCAAATTATGCTAGATGATTAGATTTTTTTGTGGTTGAATGTGATGTTTGTGAGAGAAAAAGTGAAATGATTATGGATTTGATGTGATATTTTGTCTTATTAACTATTTTAGCCTCTCTTTTTTTTGTGATTTTTAGCCTAAACTAGGCTATTTTTTTTTTCCCAAACACCCCCATTATATTCTGAAGATTTTAGCTGAATAGCAATTGCATGATTCCCGCAATCACAACAGCATCCATTGCCTCAAAGCATGATTGATGATGAATGGATAACAGGTTCAATTTGAACAAATTTAGCAACAAAAATTTAAACAACATTCACTAATGTTGTGTTTGGTTGGAGGATTTGAGGTGGGATTTGAAAAGGAAAATGAAAAAGATAGGTGAAATGTGAATAAAATATACCTACATTTCACCTAGTTTTACATATCTTTTCCCTTTTGCTTTCCAAACCCCTCCCTAAATCTCCCAACCAAACACAACGTAAATGGGTGTTGCCTCAAATTTGAGAAATGTTTCATCATCAAATTCCCAACTACTACTTACTTTACAGGTGATGCTATGGTACATTTGGATGTACCATACATAAGCTATGAGGTTATGTGATTTTATACTACAACCAATATCATATAGATCATAACCATTATCATATTAACTCATAACTTAGTTATATAAGTTATTCATACATACCATATTATCTCATAACTACCACATAACTAAATTATTTTAATAATATAATTTTGAATTGGCAACCGGCGTAACCGATTACCAAAAAGAGGGCAAAGGAAATCAGAGAAGTCGAGGAGTCCCAAGTCGGCTAGCCTCCCTCTCTTTCTCTTCCTCTTGCTCTTCTCTTCTCCACCCTCCTCTCTTCCACCGTAGCCGGAGCTTCAGCCATTGCCGAAGACCACCAGCCCAGTTGGTGTCGGTTACCAAAAAGAGGGCAAAGGAAATCAGAGGAATCGAGGGGTCCCAAGTCATTTGGCCTCCCTATCTTGCTCTTGCTCTTCCCTTCTCCTCCCTCCTCTCTTCCGCCATAGCCGAAGCTTCAGCCATTGCCGAAGACCACCAGCCCCGTCGGTGTCGGGGCAACCATTCTCTCAGTGTTGACATCTTCTTCACAATCTCTCTCTCTCTCTCAACGTCAAGAACTAGTTGCTTTCATTCTTTCCAAGAGATATTTTCTGTAGCTCAAGTTTGTTTCTAACTCTAAACTTCATTTACATTAGGGCTTTTGATTTGAAAACTCTAACCCTTATTGAATATTTGATATTAAGTTTGGTTCTCAATCAAAATTAACATCTGTAGCCAATAGTTGTGCCACTTTGATTTCAAAACTCTAACTGTGAAGAATGAATATCTGATATTAAGTTTTATTTTCTCAACTTTTCCCTTTGAAAAAGTTCAATATTTGTAATCCAATTATTGACTCTTTCTTTCTCTCTTTGATCCCATCTATAATCAGCAATGTCATTGATCACATTCCCAAATCATCCTCTGTTTCTCTGTTTTCTAGGAATTTATTAGCTCTCTTCTTTTTTTTTCTTTTTACATTTTAATTTTTTTAAAAACCAATAAAATTGATAATTCTTGTATCTACACTCCCTCTATAAATAGCCAACTCTTTGGCTTGATTAACATGCATCCATAGACCATCTTCTCCAGTAACATCAAAATATCTATTCGTTTGTCAGTTTCCACAATTCCCAGAAAATTGCTAAAGCTAATACATCACAAACCACTTTAATTTTCTTTCTCATAGGAAAATCAAGCCACCACAAGAGTAATTGTTAGAAACATAAACAGATTTCAATAAACAAATAAAAAATTACAGTCTCATATCAGTTACATGAGTCCCACACATCAGATTTCACACAGTCAAGCCAAATTTCAAGTATATATCTATATATATCTGGAATCAACACAACTAACAAACATAAAAAACTTAAACCTATTCAAATCATATTTTCCTAATTTTATAAACCAACCCAGTGAGTTCACAAGGTGAAAGGGGCAGTTTCAAAGAAGGGGATTTCGGTCTAGGGTTTCATAGAATGGAGATGAAGAAAGGGAGAGAAACAAGTTGCAG